AAACGAAGCAAGTTGGATGTTTCGTTGGGATAAAGCAAGATGTCATGGTTCGAAATGGTAGAAGCAGTGCTTCGAATGAACATGTCAAAACTCAGAGTTTCGAGTGACAGTTGTGAAGATGTAGTTAAAAGAAGCCTCGAAGTGGTAATGAGACTGTGTTTAAGAAAGGAGTTCAAAGCGAAGAGTGCCAAACATTTGAAATTCAAACGCAAGCGGGATGTTCGAAATTTGAAATATACGCGCTGGAGCATTCGAAGACACGTGGAAGCTAGAGAGGGGCAGTGCTCTGCATGTTCTGAACGTGGCAGAATCTTATAGGCAAAAACGTTATGGTCGAAGTAGTATAAATAGAGGTCTTAGCGTTAGGATTTCGTGTGTCATATCTATTGTACAAAATTCAGTAAACATTCAAAATACCACATGGCTATGGAAACGAATGCTCGAACAATGTACGTATGATAACACCAAATATTTATGATTCAGCAAAAAACTCTTTATCATTTCCAGTTTATCTTCTATCTTCATGTCAATATCATTCAAAAGCCTTTATATTAAAGTATTTTCATTCGAAGTCATTTACTGATTTCTTGCATTTAAACGCTTTCTTTCTATTTCAAATCCTTTACATTTCGGAAACTTTTGTATATTTCATGCTTTCATCTTCATGCTTTTGTCATTCGAATACCTTTTCATTCAAAGTCTTTTACTGATTTCTTGCATTTAAATGCTTTCTTTCTATTTCGAATACTTTACCCTTTCAGAAACTCTTTTACATTACATGCTTTTACACTTCAAAATTATTTATTTGTTTCTTGCAGTTTTACATTTCTTTACAATCGAATCTTTATTCATGCAATTTAGTTTCGTACGTTTTTACTTGATCATGTCATTAGATCTTTTAATATGGTAATCGAAGTAAGTTAAACGCATACACAACATTCTAAATACCAACCATGAATATCGGTTCTACAATGAGAATTATCCAAATGACCAATACACCATAGGATCAATCTAGTCGATCCTGCGAGTTACCAGAGAGATTAAATAACAGTCATTAAGATTATTTGATAGTTTGGAGGACTAGCGGTTGTTTACCAGAAATCACTGTAAACACTTTGATAGACTTCACTTCTTCGTTCATTGCTTTCACCCACATTGAATCCTTTAATGCTTCAGCTGCATTAACGGGTTCGACATATTCATAGAAAGCATAATGTACCAGCTCACCTTCATCATCTATCACATCATCTGATGTAATCACACAATCTTGCAATCTTTTAGGTATGCGTCTTGTTCTTTGAGGCCTGCTTGTACTTGGTATATCTGCTGGTTCCTCTTGTCGAACTTCTCTTTCGACTTGAGTTTCTGGCTCTTTAAGAAGGATTCCCACTGAATCTTTTTTGACATTATCAGTCCAATCCCATTCTTTAAACTCATCTATGGTCACGTCCCTACTGATCACAATCTTCTTTTTCACTGGATCGAACAACTTGTAGCCTCTTGTCGAATGATATCCAACTAGATTGACTTGACTTATCATCAAGTTTTCTTCTCAACTGATCTGGCACATGTCTATGTGCAATAGATCCAAATACCTTCAGATGACTCAAGCTAGGCTTCACACCAGACCAACATTCTTCTGGAGTAATTCCTTCTAGCTTCTTCGTAGGACATCTGTTCAAAATATATTTTGCAGTCGAAACAGCTTCACCCCAAAACTCTTTAGGTAAATTCTTTCCTTTCAACATACTTCTCACCATATTCATGATGGTTCAATTCTTCCTTTCTGCAATTCCATTTTGTTGTGGAGTATAGAGTAGCACCACCTCATGCATAATCCCTTCCTTTTCACATAGCATGTCGAAGTCTTTCGACACATATTCTCCACCACCATCAGTTCTCAAAACTTTGAGCTTTCGACCACTCTGTCTTTCGACCATAAACTTAAACTTGGCAAATACTTTGATCACTTCACTTTTCTTCTTGATCAGATAAGTCCACAGCTTTCGACTGAAATCATCTATGAATGTAACAAAGTATTTGTTACCTCCCATCGAATCTACCTGGATTGGTCCACATACATCAGAGTATATGACTTCAAGAATAGCCTTCGACCTGCTTCCTGCATCCTTGCTGAAGCTATTATTGTGTTGCTTCGCCTGCACACATTCCTCACATACCTCGTTTGAATGTCAATTTCAGGCAATCCCGAAACCATATTTTTTTCTCTTCAAATCTCTGATGTCTCTGAAGTTGAGATGCCCTAGTCTATAATTCCATATCCATTTATATATGCTAGCTGCAGTCGAAATACACTTGTGCTCCATCACATTTAGTTCAATCTTGAAGGTTCGATTTTGAGACATAAGAGCCTTCAAGATTAATCTCCCATTTGCATCAACGACTCTCATCATCTTATCTTCGATTGACACTTTATAATTCTTTTCGACCAACTACTCTATACTGAGTAAATTGCTCTTCATGCCTGGTATGTACAACACATTTGAAATTACTGACCTCTTACCATCTTTCCTCATAATCATAACATCACCAATACCTTCAGCTGCTAGGGTATTATCATTTGCAAATTTTACCATATTTTTCATTGAGGGCTTTATATTGACAAACCAGTCTTTCCTTCCAGACATATGTGATGAACATCCTGAATCCAAGTACCATTGGTCCTTGAATCTATCTTCATCTTTTGTTGTGACCATCAGCATCATCTCTTCTTCTTCTTCGTGTTTTGCAAGTTTTGCATCACTTTCTTGATTCTTTCATTTTTCTGGACAATCACTCGAATAGTGTCCATACTTCTAACAATTATAACATTGAATGTGACTCTTATCAGGTTTTTGACCACCACCTCTTCCTCTATTTGCAACACCACCTCTTTGGTTGCTTTGGTATGCTCTTCTTTGATTCGACACGTTTCCTTCGATTTGGTTCCTCTACCATTCGATTTGTTGTAGCCACCTCTACCTCTGTCGAAACACTTTCCTTTGCCTTTGGTTTCTTTTGCTGAATGTGCCTGCAAGGCCACATCACTCTTCGATTTTCCTGCAGCTCTTTCATTCATTCTTTGTTCATGAGATTCAAGCGTCCCTTGAAGCTCTTCCTTTGTCAATTTCGACAAGTCTTTCCCCTCTTCTATCGCCACCACTATGTGGTCGAACTTAGGAGCTAAAGATCTCAAGATCTTCGAAACAACAGCTCTTGTTGTTAACGCTTCTCCATATATTTTGATTTGATTTACTAGTTTTGTAACTCTAGTGAAGAAATCAGATATGCTTTCACTGTCTATCATCTGAAGGAGTTCATACGTCCTTTTGTGAGTTTGTAACTTCACTTCTTTCATCTTCTCAGTGCCTCCAAAAGACTTCTCAAGGATCTCCCAAGCATTTTTTGCAGATTCTAAATCACTAACTTTTTCGAAGTTGTCTGGGCTGACACATTGATGAATTATAAATAATGCTTTATAACTCAGCTTCTCAGATTTTGTGTATTTCTTTTTTTATTCTTCTGAAGCGTTTTCTCCGAGCGCTTCAACTCCATCTTTTACAAGGTCCCAAAGACCTTGACACCTGAATAAGACTTTCATCTGTTTGCATCAATTCTCATAGTTGTCAACTTTCAGAATTGGTAGCGTTGCTGGATAGTTTGCATTCTCATAACTTGTCATCGTGAATTCTTCAATCGTTCTCGATTGACACTTCCCTCGAATCGAAACAAAAGCTCTTGATACCAGATGTTGGAAACTCACCAAAATCTATGATGAATTTCTACCACAATGACAATTTAATTATGAGACAAACAAATAAAAGAAGACAAGACAAATAATTTCTACAGAGTTTCTTTCTGCTCACAAACTGTGAAAACTTTATTATTCACTTTGCAACTGCAAAATACTGTGAATGACTTGCTTGACTTACTTACAAAAATAGAGGTTACTCCCTCTATTTATAACTGAGCTTACACCCTAAACCCAAAGCCTAAAATATATTTTTGTTACTAAACAAAATCTAATTTATTCTAGACTTAAATCAAATCTATTTAAATCTAAAATAAATCAAATCTTTTCGACACACTGGATTACAATTTAACATATGCAGTCAAAAAGATACAAAATTAAAAGATATAATGACAAAATAACTTTTAAAATGCACTAACAACAAACAACTGTTATTTGTAACGGTAGAGATTCAAATCCTAAAAAACTAAGGTTTAAACTAATATCATATAAAAATATACCTAATAATATGAGGAAGTAATTCTGTTTTACGGGTTAAAAATTAATCTCCAATGCATAGTTTGAATATCCTCAAAAACAATTGAAAATTGATCAGTAATATATCGTATACCCCCAATGGTAAAGACTAATATCTTGAGAGTTAATTTTATTTTAAAACTTTTTATTAAGCTTAAAGAAACTTTATCTCATCCAAGTATCAACATTATCAATTTTCGGTTTATCACTTCAAAAGATATATCTACAATGCAAAAGCTAGTTATAGTCACCACATGTATATTTGGGTGCACATCACACACAAAGCATCTTTATTTGCTAATGCTTTTGAGTATAAATCTTAGACACACAAAATATTCTAAAAGATAGGTCACAAAACAATATCCTAGGAACTGATTCATTACAGAGTAATGAAGGAATATATAATCTTCAAACATTTAAATGGGATGCAAGTGTACAACGTATCCGTATAATTTATCACATCCAATAAAAGAAATGAAAAATATACCCAATTATTAAATGTGAAAATATATAGAAATTGAACCATATAAACAATTGCTCGCTTTCTAAATATTAAACAGAAAAATTATATTGACTACCATGAACAATTATAACATTTAACAAGATCAGTCCAAAAATCTCAGTTGTTGCAATTTGACAGCAGCGCCAGTTCAGTTGGAAAATGATTCAGCCATCGAATCACAATTTGCGGGTCACTCGTGCTTTGAGATACTCCAGAAAATAATAGTTACATTCACAACAGCCTGCAAAGAAATGGTCAGAAAACTATAGTATCATGGAGTGCTTGAATTCAAACTCCACCATGAAATACAATCAATCCCCACTTCATCCACATCATTACCTTGGGCAGGCACGTCTATATAATAAGTTCTCTTCCATCAACTCTAAAAGGAATGTCAATTCTCGCGATCATCCGACCCATTAATAACAATCAGATGTTCATCCTCAACACACTTTGTCGAATCTTCATCGATAAACCACGTCAAGGACCCTGTGCCAAATAGTGAACATACTATCACTTCATGAGGTTCAATTGTTATAGAGAAATCACCTTGGCTTGTGAAATATTCTACTAATGCATTGGCAAACACATGGAAACTGATTGAAAGTAACATGTTGACCTATACCTTTCCTAGTAGATTCTTCCTGTTCTTTAGTCCCATGCAAAATTATTGTTCCCGTCAGAACAGTGATAAATCCACATATCTCAGAGGCTATGCTGCTGATATCCTGACCAGACCAATCCTGCAAGGGAAAACAACAAAAAAATACAGTCAAGGTTTTCAAATTCCAGAGCTCAATAAATGAAAAGTTTGATATATCACCAAAAGAATCCACAAGACATGAATATATTATCATACCTTGAACATTATTGCACTGGCAATAATAGTAAGAGTTGTGAACATCACATAATATACAGGAGAAATAATTGTTGCATTGAATGTATCCAGGGCCTGAAACATAGTTGAATAGTGAAATAAAGTAAGCTCGAGATTCTTTAAAAGAATAAGGAGTTAAACTTATTGATATAACATAGTGGACAATAAGAAAATTGGTGTATGTAGGAACTGATACATATCAATTGAAAACATTACTGCCACTGTGTTCCCCCGTTTGCAAAATTACATAAACAAAGACAGAACTGTTCACAAGATTGCATTTTTGCAATTTGGTAACCTATTATTATTGCACGCTCCTGAATGAAAATCTTTACTAGATTTTTTAGTTATTATGCAGATTGGAAGGGAAGGACTTCTCACTTGCAATCCATCACTTTATAGACACATGACTTTTACATTGATTCTTGACTAACCTAATTTAAAGAGATTGGCTCTTTTGCTATCGATGTTAATACTAGAAGAGCAGCCAAGTAACTAAGCTTTCATAAGTTTTCATTATACAGAACAACTGAAAAACATAAGAGGCCTTGCCTCGTGGAACCACACTAGTGTAAGAAATCATGAATCAAAAGCAAGGTCAAGCTTACAAATTTGCCTTGCATTAAATGATAAATAATGTAGTTTCAGTTATAATTTGCACCTGTTCAATTTCAAAATTCTGCACTCACCTTGTTAAGGTAATTCAACTGTGTAATGACGCATATTATGGCCACTGTAACAAAAAACCAAGTCTGAGGATACCCTATTTGATTTATTCCATCAAGTGTTAGCTTTATTGCAATTCCAATGGCCTTTATGCTCACAACCTGAATAATTTAAAAAATCACTGATGAGCAGACCAAACTACAGTTAGTGCATGCACTGAATTTCAACAAGACACTGCTGTCAAATAGTATCTATAACATCAAAATTGGACAAATCACTATTGCTCCACAATCTGCTATGTAGACAGTGTTGGCATAGCGGAATTTAGACAAACCGCTATTTTCCACAATCCATCATTGACAACACTAATACTCCTCTATAACATTGTAGCATAGTAGAGTATGGCATATGAGACTTCCTTCTAAATAATTGTTAAAGACATAATTACCGTAAGTGAGCCCATTAATGAACAGATTCCCAAGTAGACCAGCATATTTTTCTGTCCATAGCGAGGTTCAAAATTTAAAATCAAGACCAAAACTACCGAAACTGTTGTGATGGCATAAATCATAAATTCTGTTGAAAAGGAAGAAGAAAATATTAATTAAAGACTGAATATGAATTAAATTTAAGAGTAATAAAAAACGGGAGATACCATCCAACCTGGTTGAGTAGCTAATTCCCATATTTCTTGGACAGAATTTGGAGTGTGTTCTTGTGGTGCATGAATGACTATAACAATTGATCCCACAATACAAGATATACATCCCAATACTCCCATCTTCTGAAGCCGTTCGTTCAACAAGAAGTGAGCCAAAACAGAACTAGCAATATATACTTAATACATTAGTTGAGGTCCGCCATAAAATCATAACATTCAACCAGGAATTTTTAACTTTTTAAAATCAAATCAGTACCTGACAATAATGCTAAGCGCGCCGAGAGGTGTAACAAGAACGGCCGGAGCATAAATATAAGCAACAAAGTTTGCAGCTTCCCCAGTAATCACTGCAAGCAAATAGTTGAAGATCCATGTAAGTTTCATTTCAAAAAACCAAAACCTACTACCAGAGAGAGAAGGCGAATAGCTATACTAACTTGTTACCATGCCAACCCACCAAAGTGGCTCTAGTAGATAAGCATGACCACCAACCCCTGCAAATTTCAAAACATATGTTTAGATTCATTTTTGGGAGAGCCAACACATGCCAAAATTAAGTACGTTATGGATCTGATCTCAAAATTCATGATCATTATTAAATGCAATAACCGACACGTAACTGAATTGGAAAACTGATTGCTTGAAATTGAAAACTGAAATCAAATAATTAACAAAAGAAAGCTTGAAAATGTTAGGTTGTATAACCTGCACGAGTACCGCGTGCAGCGGCGCGCTTGAGACCTTTCTTCTTCAAGATGAAGCTAGCACCGATGAATGCACTGGAGCACACGGCAAGTATCAAACCTTTGTAATTCTCTGAAACTCCCATTACTATATCTATCTTCGATTTGATTGGTGAATTTGCTTGCTCCGATTTCCCGCCAAAACGAGATCGAATGAGTTGAGGAGCGAGCGAGTGAGTGATCAGAGAGAATGAAGCGAACGCTTCATTGACTCGGAATCTGGTGAATGATGACTCGCGAGAAGGTAGCTACAGATGCAGAGCAAAAACACTTTTTTCCTATTTTAATAATAATAAATTCATAAAATAAAATAGTCCTTTGCTTTTCAGAAGGTTCCGCGGATACTTATCGGGTTTGATTCTCTGCTTTGCGGTAAATTCGCCCACCGATACGCCTCTTTGTTTATCCTTGTGATGCTGATGATTGAATAAGCGTCTTTTGACTAAAAAGTAATCGGAATTTCAAACTACTGGACTAAAATCTAACTCGCACTTGAACTATGATCCTCGGCACCCTTATTACTACCACCAATTTGTGCAGCCAATTGATGATTATAGATGTATCATGTAAATTAATTTGGTAAATATATCAAAATTTTAACAATTGATACAAAAACTTTAAAAAGAAAATTAATTATTATCAAATCAAATATTCTTTATCTCAATAATTAATGAAAAAAATAGATATATATATATATATTAATCATATAAAATATTTTTACATTATTATTCAATGAAAAACATATATATTCAATTAAAATATATTTTTATTTTTTAAATATTTATATGACATGAGAAATATAAAAAAATTAAAAAAAAATTAGGAGGATAATGTGTATCAAATCCTTGCCTACAGATATAGAGAAAGCTTGTTTTGACAACCGATCCATGCAACTTGTTATGAAGCCAACAATTAAATTATATAAATCCAAACCTAAAACAGAAATTAATAGCTATATGATATTACACTATAATAGATGTCCATGTTTTTCAAAAACCCACAAAATATTACACAGTTTGATACATTATATATGAAAAAATTAAGTGGAAGTTATCAATTAGACTTTTTTATTAATAAGAAATTAAAAATATGGAAAATATTTAAATACATTATATATGAAAAAAAGAAGTAGAAGTTATTAAATAGATTTTTGAGACAGTAAATTATTACTATTAAATAGATTTGTAAAAATGAATAAGTCACTTGAAAACCATCATATAAATAATTTTATCAATAATCATTTATATAATAATTTTAGATCTTGAATAATTCATTTTTAATTAATTTTAAATCTTGAATAATTTATTTTTAGTTAATTTTATGGTGTAATATTAATTTCCATTTTTTATTTGTTTTTATATATTTCAATTGCCCTTAAACTATGTGGTTCAGTTGGTTAAACATGGTTTCATGTAATCGTATGACATGGGAAGGTTTTCGACCCCTATTTGTCTTATGATTTATGGTTTTTAAGATTTTAAATAATTTATGCTTTAAATTTTATATAATTAGAAAATTATATTTGAAAATATAAAAATGATATGGAATTAATTATTATAAATGTGATATACTTTATGTTTTATGTTTTTTAAGATTTTAAATAATTTATGCTTTAAATTTCATATAATTAAAAAATTATATTTAAAAAAATAACGTGAAATTAATTATTACAAATATGATATGACGTGGAATTAACTATTACAAATGTGATAGTGACACATCATCAATTTAATTGATATGTCATTAAATTTTGACCTTAATTTAAAAGGATACTAAAATTTCAAAAAAAAATTAATTTAAATGGCCAAAAAATCAGATTTTAAAATAGAAAGATCAAAATTTAAAAAAAATAAAAAATAGAGAAACTAAAATTACAATTAAATTTAAATTTAATTTTCTTTTTAATAGGAATTATGAGGTAGTGATAATAATGAATGATAAAGATTTAATTCTTGTCTTTTTTTATTTTTACACTTTCTTACTACTCTCTTTAGTTTTATTTATAAAAAAAATTAATTTCTAGATACATTGAATAAATAATATATCTAGATAATATATTATTCAAATATATTATTTATTCAATATATTTTAAAAAAATATTGATTAAAATATATAAAATTAAATTATAATTTTAATCTCTCTATTATAACCCATTCACGAAATCAATCTCCTATTTTATTTTTAAATAGTTTTAATTTCTCTTTTTTATTTTTAGCTCAAAAACGCTAATATATAATTTTTTTTCTATGTGGTCATTTTTTTAATGACATGGACATGGCAACTTGACCAATTTTAATCTACATGTTACTTTTTATTTTATTATATTTATTTAACTAAATAAATATTATTTAAAAAGCTAACGTTTTTTCAATTCAAGAAAAAAAAATAGTTTCAAATTTCCTTACTAAACAAACTAAAAACAAAAAAGAATTTAAAATAATTAAAAGCAACACATTTTTAGGACTAAAATTATTTACCAATTTCAATTAGTGCTAAAAAATAATATTTTATAAATTTTATTCTACACGTTGTAGCATTACTGAAAACCAAAGTAGAATTAAATACCACTAAATTTAACTACGTCGTAATCACTGACAACATCATCAGTTGTATCTCCCGATTAATCATCTAGAGAATCAGAATCATCATCATTTGACACTTCAGCTATCTTCTTTTTCTTCTTCTTAAGTGCCTCGGGAACGGGAGCGTCAACAGTTACAGACTCCACCGCTGAAGTCGGCAGGACTCAGAGCTTCACCCTTAGATAATTGCTCTAGAAAAAAATTCTTAGAGAAGACTTTTGTCTTCAAAGAGGAAGAAAATAAATTAACTCGTATCAAAGATTTAGATCCATTCAAAACTCACACATCTCCATATTGATCTTCCTCTTCTCTATTCAATTTATTCATTTGAATTCTTCTTCTCTATTCAATTTCTCTTTGTCTCTATGGGTTGTTACCTAAACAAACTATGAACTACATGGGAAGGATGAAGAGATGCACCATGTAGGTCACATCAATAACAAATTGGTCATTTCTCTTTTGTTCATTTTTTTTGAAACCCCTTTTTCTTTTATTCTTAAAATAATTTTATTATTAACCCATGATAATAAAGAAAAGAAGAGGATATTAGAATTAATTTAGATTTAATTATATATTAATTTATATTTAGGAATCTTTTAGATTGTTTATATTTTTGTTAGAAGATATAAATCTTAGATCTTCTTATATCTTTGTAGAAGATATATTTTAAATTTAATTTGTGTGTATAAATAGCCTAGTGGAGTAGGTTATTGTAATTCATTGTAAATCCTTATTTTTGAAGCTATCAGTAAATATTCCTTTGTCTTTTATCTTCCTTGTGCACCAACAATTGGTTTGAAATCCACGGGAAAAGAAGTATTGTGATTAAGAATTACAATATTCTGATTCTGTGAGTTTTGAGAAAACATTGATTTGGGAAATTCTGCGTACATTGCATAAGGTAGAAGATGAATGGAAACGGTGGCGATATTCATTCCAAGCTTCCAGTATTTGATGGCAAAAACTGGAATCGTTGGAAGATCCAGATGCGCATGTTATTTGGCTCTCAAGATGTTTTAGAACTTGTTATTGATGGCTATAATCTGTTAGAAGCAAATGCAATAGAGGACCAGTAGATAGCACAGAAGGCGCTGAGGAAGAAAGATCAGAAAGCGTTGTTCTACATCCATCAATGTGTGGATGTGAATGTGTTTGAGAAGATTGCTGATTCTGAAATAGCAAAGGCTGCATGGGACACACTGGTCAGATGTTACGGTGGTGACGCGTCAGTGAAGAAGGTGAAGCTTCAGTATCTCAGAAAGATATATGAGAATCTTAACATGAAGGACAACGAGAAGGTTTCTGAATACATCTCTAGAGTGATTCTGATCACTAATGAGATAAAAGCTTGTGGAGAAACTTTGTCTGAACAAGTAATCATTGAGAAGATCTTGAGATCTTTAACTTCTCAGTTTGATTACATTGTTGTAGCAATTGAACATTTCAAAGATCTGAGCACCATGAGAGTTGAAGAGCTGCAGAGTAGTCTAGAGGCGCATGAGTTGCGTATGACTGCAAGAACTTCTGAGAGGGAAGTAGAGCATCAGGCTCTGAAGGTAACTTCTGGTAAGAAGCATCAGAAGCAGACTTGGTCAGAAGCCAGAAAGAAAATTAATGGTGGTCAGAAGTCAGAAGCTTCAAATTCTGATAGGCAGAAGAATGTCCAGGAGGGAAAGGAGAAGTCTGACAAGAAGAATGTCCAGTGTTATTGTTGCAAGAACTTTGGTCACTATGCCAGAGATTGTTGGTCCAACAAAGAAAGGAAGTCAGAAGAAGCAAATGTAGCCAGAGGAGATTCAGATAATGAACCTGTGCTATTTATGGCTTATCAATCTGATGAGGAACCAGTGAAATTGTCATTTTCTGATTCTGAAGGGGAAGAAGAATATGACTCTGAATATTCTGTTTCTAAAGGAGTGATTTTGTATGAGTCAGAATCAGAATATGACTCTGAGTTGGAATCAGATGACGCTGAAGATTTTGAAGATAAGTCGGAATATGAGGTTTCTGAAGACGAGTTAGAGTCAGATGATGACTCTGGAAACTCTGAAGGTGAGTCAGATGGTGAATCTGATTCTGATCCAGATTTTGATGATGATCCAGAATTTGGTGGTGATCATGCTTCTAGAAGGGAAAACTCTAAAGACGTAGGTTCTAGAGGACAAGCTTCTAAAGATGATGATGTTTCTGGTAGAAATCATGATTCTGAAAGTGGAACTTCTGAAGGAGGAGCTTCTGAAGGAAATTCAGCCTTTGACATGATCATGATTCTCAAAGTGGAACTTCTGAAGGTAGAGGTGATCCAACTTTTGAAGATGGTATTTATGAAGGTAGTAGCTCTGACTTTGATGATGATTCAGACCCTGAGAATTTTCAAGGCTCTGAAGACAATCAAGGTTCTGGAGAAAGTCAAAACTCTGAAGCAAGACCTTCTGAAGGGGGAAGTTCTGGTGTCCAAGGTTCTGAAGGTCCAGTTCAGAGGCAACAAAGAGTCAGAAGCATCC